CCCGGCCAACCGCAGGCCCCCACCCGGTCCCCCGCGGCGCCGCCCGGAGCCGCCTCCCGGCGCCGGGCCAGGGCCCCCCAGCGCCGGATGCCCGATCCCGGGGCCACTGACCTTGACGCCAGGCCCCAGACGCACCCGGGGACCCCGCAGACTCCCACCAAAAACGTCAACCTGCGCGCCTAGATCCTACTTAATCCACGTCCCGGCACTCCAGCCTGCGCACCCACAGCTTGGTCCCGGAGCCCCCAGACTCATTCTGCGCCTCCCAGGACTGGGCACCCAGACCCCACCTAATCCGAGGGCCCCCCGCCCTCATCCGTCTCTGCGGAATTTTATTCAGTGCTCCAGACCGCCACTCTAGAGGGGCCCAAAACTTCATCCCGGGTCCCCAGACCCTCGCCCAGGAGCGAGGCGCTCCCAGGCGCAGACCTGCCCGTCTCCTTCTGCCCTCCGCCCCCAGGGCCGTCTCCAGCCAGGTGGTCCCTTCGACGCAGGCACGGCGTCCCCGCACCCTCCATCCGTAAAGCTACAAGTTGGGGGCCGGGGGCGGCAGTTCCCTTTTGGCCCCCGATGAATGGAAGCCCCTGAGGAGGGGGCCAGGGCTGCACTCGGGCGCGCAGGACGCCGGGGTCCGGCGCCAACACCTCCCTGAGCCCCCTCCCTCCAGCGCCCCCGCACCAGGTTTACGCCTCCGCCCCCAAGCGGGGGGCGTGTCCTCGGGGGCGGTTCTGGGCGGAGCGGGCTCCCAGGAAGGGGCGGGGCCTCGTTTTGCCCACGTCTCTGGGCGGGGCCAGACGGGAAGGGTTGCGTGTCCAGGGATTCCCCGCCTGGGCCGGACGTCGCGCGGGAATGGCCGGGCCCCCTTCTTCCCTCCCCAGCCCTGCTTGTCCCCGCGATCACCTCAACGTGACCCCGACGTGGGGGTGTTCCGAGAAGGGGACGTGTGCCGCTGGGTCCTGAGATCAGGGTGAACGGCTGAGTGTCCCCCTCCACCACCATTTCCCCCAATCACCGTCCTTCCCAGCCGCTGGGCGAGGAGGTTAAAAATAGCAGCTCTTTAAAACCAAAAAACGGACGCGGGTGCGGTGGCTCACGCCTATAATCCCAGCACTTTGGGTGGCCGAGGTGAGAGGATTGCCTGAGCCCGTGAGTTCGAGACCAGCCTGGACAACTTGGCGAGACCTCATCTCCACAATAAATCCAAAACTTAGCCGGGCGTGGTGGCGCGCGCCTGTAGTTCCAGCTACTTGGAAAGCTGAGGCGGAAGGATCGCCGGAGTCCAGCAGGTCGAGGCTGCGGTGGCCATGAGCGTGCCACTGCACTCCAGCCTGGGAGACAGAGTGAGACTCCAACTCAAAAAGATAAAATAAAATAAAACCAAAAAACAGACAATAATAAGTGGTGGTGAGGATGTGGAGAAATTAGAACCCTCGTACAATGTTCGTGGGAGTGTAAAATGGTGCAGTCGCTTTGGAAAATGGTCTGACAGTTTGGCAAAATGTAACCATGTGACCCAGCAATGTCACTCCTAGGTATATATACCCAGAAGAATTGAAAACATGTACACGCACAAAAGTCTGTACACAATATTTATAGCAGCGCTATATATAAGAGCCAAAATGCAGAAACAGCCTGATTTCCATCAACTGATAAATAAGGAAAATGCAATATATCCACACCATGGAATGTTCAGCTATAAAAAGGAATAAGTTACTGATACATGCTACAATATGGATGTATATGGAAAGTGTTATGCCAAGTGAAAAAAGCCAGTTATATCCAGAATAGACAAATTCACAAAGTAAATTAATAGTTGTCAGAGGAAGGGGACATGGGAACAAGATCTCTTTTGAGATGATGAAAATGTAATTAGCTAGCAGTGATGGTTGCATAACTATGGAAAGATATTAAAAACCACTGGGTTGTACACTTTATTTTTATTTATTTATTTATTTAATTAATTTTTTTGAGTCAGAGTCTCTCTCTGTCACCCAACTGGAGTGCAGTGGCCGCTCCTGGCCACCGCAGCCTCGACCTGCTGGGCTCCGGCGATCCTTCCGCCTCAGCCTTCCGAGTAGCTGGAATTACAGGCACGCACTATCACGCCCGGCTAATTTTTTTATTTTTATTGTAGAGATGAGGTGTCGCCATGTTGACCAGGTGGGTCTCAAACCCGCGAGCTCAGGCAATCCACTCACCTCAGCCTCCCGAAGTGCTGGGATTACAGGCTGAGCCACCGAGCCTGGCTTATTTATTTTTTTGAGTCACAGTCTCACTGTCACCCAGGCTGGAGTGCAGTGGCACGCTTATGGCTACCACAACCTCGACCTGCTGGACTCAGGCGATCCTTCCGCCTCAGCCTTCCGAGTAACCGGAATTACAGGCACACGGTACCACGCCCGGCTGATTTTTTGATTTATTGTAGAGATGAGGTCTCGCTGCCCAGGCGGGTCTCAAACCCGTGGGCTCAGTCAATCCACTCACCTCAGCCTCCCAAAGGCGCGGGATTACAGGCTGAGCCACCGAACCTGGCTTAGCCATGAATTATATCTTAATAAAGGTGTTATTTTTAAAAATAAACAAAATAATAGCTCTTGATTATCAGGATCTAACTGTCCCAGGCACCACTGTGGACCTCGTTTGATCAAAACAGACCCAAACCTCCTGGCCTGGCGGAGCTCACGTTCAAGGAAAGACAGGGAGTATCGAAGAGGAAAGTCACCCAGCCCCACACCCCCAGGTCCTCCACTCACAATGCCCCACCACAACAAGAGGGGCCTACATTGGACGCCCATCTCTGAGGGTGACAGGGACCCAATCATAGGTCACACACAGGGCGAGACTGGCTGGGGGCCCATTACTGGGCTCTAGATGCAGGGGCACCTCTGCGGGTGGTCTGTCCACTGCATTTTTTTTTTTTTGAGTTGGAGTCTCAGTCTGTCGCCCAGACTGGAGTGCAGTGGCATACTCACAGCCACTGAAGCCTCGACCTGCTGGGCTCAGGTGATCCTTCTGCCTCAGCCTTCCAAGTAGCTGGAACTACAGGCGTGTGCTATCACACCTGGCTAATTTTTTGATTTATTGTAGAGACGAGGTCTCAAACCTCTGGACTCAGGTAATCCTCTCGGCTTGTGTTGGGAGCCATTTAAAAAATAGCAGCCATCTTATATAAGCCTTCTTCTTTGTCCTCCGAAAAGCCCGCGCGCCCAAACCACAACACCCCTCCCACCTCCTCTCCTCATACCACCACTACTCTTCCTCCTATATAAGCCGCCACACGCCCTATTTCAGCCCACCCCTTTGCTATGTATATAAGCAATCACCTAACAATAAAATTTTGAGGCTTGATCAGAACACTGTCTTGCCTCCATTCTGCGTGTCTCCTGTCTCTTTCTCTCTCTTGGTCTCTCTCTCTCTCTTTTCACCAGCAGCAGGTAGTCCTCCTCGTGCCCACGTTTTACTTGTCCCGCTGGTCGGGACACCTGGCGCCCCACGTGGGGCTCGAGGCACGGAACGGCGCTGCTGGCACCTACTCGGAGGACGCCCCGGCCGGGCACACCCTGAGCTCCTGAGCTCGCTTCGAGCCCGTGGGTGATCAACCCGCGGGATAAGACTCGATCTTGATCGTCGCTGGACTAGCCGCCCCAGCGGACATCGGAACGGTGAGTAGGTGATTATCATGGGACAGGAATTGAGCTCTCACGAGCTCTTCCTTAGGGGACTTAAGGATTCCCTCAAGATGCGCAGAATTAAGGCTAAAAAGAAAGATCTACGCAGTTTTTTCAATTTCTTGACTGATGTATGTCCCTGGTTCCCTCAAGAGGGCACCATTGATCATAAATGCTGGAAACGGGTTGGTGACTGTCTCAATGATTACTATCGTACCTTTGGCCCTAGCAAGGTCCCCGTGTCTACCTTTTCCTACTGGAATTTAATTAATGACATTTTAGAAACCCATTCTCAGGACCCAGATATCAAAGACGTAATACAAACGGGGGAGACAGCCCTTAAGGACAGTTCTCGCCCCCCCTCAGTTTGCCCCTCTGTTGCCATAGGCATGCCAGAGGAAATTAGCGGCCCTGATACTGACCCCCCTAAAGAGACTCTTAAAACAGCTCCGAAATTATACCCCT